ATTGTACAACTCGTCTGTGAGCATGTTTGTTTCTTTTTTCATTTGAGAATAATACGACAACAGTTTTGTGAAATATGACAACCGACATGATGCCAGGTGCAGCTTACGCTCTGAACTCCCTTCATTTCTGCTCTTCACGGCATTTTCACAACGCGAGGCGATGGCCGCCGGTTATTCACAGCTCAGTGACTCCTCTGCTTTTAAATGCTTCATATATATATGAATCCTTATTTTGATAAATAAATACATAATACAAAATACATTATAGTGTTTTTAAAGGCTTATGTCCATTATGTTTTTCAAAACACTGTTAAGTGCTCCTTAATAGTGAATCATATCAGATGGCGCACTCTCAACACGTGCTGCTGCCGACATGAACTTCGGTCACTGACGATTTCCCAATCCGCACCGCTGCGTACGGAGAAACCTTCGTGAATGTATTCAGACGAGATGTTCTATTTGAGTTGCACAAGCTGCAACGCGGTTATTTTGTTGTTGTTTTTCTGTTTAAGAGCTTTAAGTTCAGTCTGTGTCGGGGAGAAGAAGAAAAAAGTCTCCATCTCGTCTCTTTTCGTGTGACAAAGAAATCTGGAGTGGAAGGAGACGATGGACAATGTTTCATGTTCACGGTGGAGGAAGATGGAACAGGAACTCTCCACACCTCAACCATCATCCTCTCTCTCTCTCTCTATGTCTGTCTCTCTCTCTCTCTCTCTCCCCCCCTCCCTCCCTCCATCTTTTTTCCTTCCCTGTGAGGATGTCAGTAAGCAGTGAGGGCTGAACCTGGACAGCTGCAGTGGACACTGTTTGTTTAGACCCCCCACCACCCCACTGAGGAGGAGCCCACACTCAGACAGCGTTGGAATCGCCTACCTGCCTTAAGTGCACTCAAATGCAGTTTGACCTCTCATCCGGACTGTGAGAAGCCGTTCTCCTTTTCATCCTCCTTTGCTCAACGCTCCCCCGAAGGACAAAAACAAAAAAAAAAAAGAAGAAGATATCTACCTAGTGATGTTTTGTATGGTTTCGTCCCGCTTTGGTTTCAGGTTGTCGTTTGGTTCGTATAGCGCTAATATTTCTTATTCTGCCCGCGGCTCTTCTCTCGATCACCTTCTGTCGAGTGGAAACTAAAGATGTGTTTCACAAAGAGCTCTGAAGCCCGGACAGAGAGAGAGAGAGAGAGGTTTTACTTGTTTTTGCAGCGCAGAAGAAACAGCGCTGTAGTGGGTTGGAAGGATATAGCTAATATTTTAACAATTACTTGTTTTCCTGGTTGTTTTTTTGTGTTTTTTTGTGGTTTTTTTGCAGGTGGATGCTTTGTGTTACTGTACATCGAGTTGTCAGCTGACTAGACAACATCTATTTTTGTATGTGAGGTCATCAGTTGTGTGAACATATTTCAGAAGGCAGGAGGGTACTGCATCAGCTGTTGTACTTTGTATGGAGGTGAACCTGAAGTCAGATATATATCGCCTACAATATGTGAGTATCTCTTGTGAGCCGGGCGGCGCTGAGGATAACTGGTGACTGGAGCGATACTCAAAATATAGGTACAATAGAATTTTTCAATGTAAATTCTGTTATTGTACATACAGCAGTATTGTGAAATATTTTTGAGAATTATTGCAGACGCCCCAAAAAGGTTTATCGTCGTTTGTTGTGTATATACGTGTACTCCAGAGATCAGTGTAATTGATAAATATCTATAATCAGTGTTTGAAAAAGGACAAATCCATTAGACTGTGGCTGTCTCCACCGTTCTTGACTTCGAGTCTTCTCATATAAATACTTTATACACTTTTCAATGTGCTTTCCTGTACATATGGTGTTAGCATGATCAAACAGTGTTTGGTTGTAAAAGTGGTTTTCCTACTCCCATAACTGCTGTGGTATGGAATTCATTAACGATGCCAAACATTAAAGACAATCTTTTATCAGCGCTAACTCTTCCTCCTTACCTTGTGCTGTGCTGTGATTGGTGGAGCGGTGTGTCGAGTGGACGGTAGAGGGCGCCGCCGGGCATGGAAATACACGGAGCACACGGCAAAGTGGTGTGTGTGTGTGTGTGTGTGTGTGTGTGTGTGTGTGTGTGTGTGTG